CATCTCATGAATATCATCTCATGAATATCATCTCATGAATATCATCTCATGATAGAAAAACATGACGTGTTGAACAATTGCACATGTAAAAGGTGCATTTTATCAGCTTTGGTTGGGGCGGGGGGGATCACCATGACGACCAGTGGCTCTGCAGAATCTGGGTCCCAGTACTACCCAGCAGGCTTTTCCTTCTTATACTTTCTCATCATGACTGACCCTCATAGATCCTTTCTGACGTCAGATTTCTTGTCAACTTTAACTGGACTTGAAAGAACTCAGAGCTTCGACCACATTCAGCAGCTAAAACCTGGAAAGAGCTTCGACCACATTCAGCAGCTAAAACCTGGAAAGAGCTTCGACCACATTCAAAACCTGGAAAGACATAAAGAACGAACATCGACCCTCGTTAAAATAAGAACTGAGCTCTGCCACAGCCCTGGTCTTTACAAACATGAGTCCTACTTTAGTTTGAACTTTTACAGAATGAGGCGACACAGTGGATCAGTTGGTAGAGCTGTCGTCTCTCAGCGAGTAAGTCACTGGTTCGAATCCCAGCCTGGGCCTTTCTGGGTGGAGTTTGCATGTTCTCTCTGTGCCGCGTGGGTTTCCTCCCACAGATCAAAAACATGCTCGTTAGACTGATTAACTCTAAACTGTTCCTAGGTGAGAGAGAGAGAGAATGGTTGTTTGTCTCTGTGTGTCCCTGTGATGGACTGGAGACCTGTCCAGGTGTCCCTGTGATGGACTGGAGACCTGTCCAGGTGTCCCTGTGATGGACTGGAGACCTGTCCAGGTGTCCCCCGCCTCTCACACAGTGATGGCTGGAGATGGGCACCAGTGACCCCTGTGACCTGAAAAGGAAGAAGCGGGTAAAGATAATGGATGGATGGATGGACGGATGGATGGATGGATGGATGGATGGTTGGACGGATGGATGGATGGACAGACGGATGGATGGATGGACAGACGGATGGATGGTTGGACGGATGGATGGATGGACAGACGTACGTTGAAAATGTTGAAATGTACGCCTCTTGGTTTTGGTGGTTTTCTCGCCGTCCTGAACAACCATTAAGTCGGTCCAGGTTAGCGGTTAGCATTTAGCTCTGACTCCACCTCGTCTCTTTCTGTGTTTACGTCTTTGTTTGTGTATTTTCCTGTTAGTGATGCGTCAGAGCTGAGTCCTTCCCTTATTCAAAGCTTCTCACAAATATTTCTGCAACATGATGCTAAATAAACAAAACTCAGTTAATTTAAAAAAGTAATCGTGTTATTATGGACAGAGGATCTGACGGTGTGTAAAACTTCCTGAACGTTCAGAGGTTTCCAGGCAGCTGACGTACGTGTGGTTTGGATAAACGTGTTTTAACTTCTGGAGATTTGAGTTGTATTTCTGTTCGTCGTCCGTCCCGCTGCACTTCAAGAAACAAGACGAAGGACGCGAGGACACTTCAGGACAGAAACGAGACGAGGGACGCGAGGACACTTCAGGACAGAAACGAGACGAGGGACGCGAGGACACTTCAGGACAGAAACGAGACGAGGGACGCGATGATTTGCCTCCGATGCAAATCGTCTAAAGATATTTTACTCTCAAATGAAGGTGATTCAGTCGGAACCAGAAACCAGTCCTGAACCTGTGACTCCCACCAGACTGAAGTTGTCTTTTGTAATCCGGATCACAAACATGTTTTTGTGGCTCGGGGGGGGTTTACACAACATTTGTTCTTGAAAACATAAATTTATAAATAAATAAGAAAATCCCAGAAAACAAACACGTTACTGAGATAAAGATTATTTATAATACGAGTACAGAAGAAGACTTTACCCCCCCCCAGGGTACAATTTAGACTTCTGACCCCCCCAGGGTTCAATAACGGACCTGAAGGTACCGAACGAGGGCTGGAAAATACATTGATGTTCCTGAGAAGTAAAAAGTACGTACATGAGTACTGAATACTCGGAGTGTGACCCAAACTGTAAAATGAGTCAAAACGTGGACATTTACTTATACTTTCATTTATTTATACTTAGTTTTTATTTATTTAGACATTTTTATTTACTTATACTTTTATTTAGTTATTGTTATTTATAATTATTATTATTATTTAATATTTATACTTATTATTCACCAAAGTTCATGTTCAGTATTTCAGGTAAAAATCCAACAACAGGTCATCTGGACGGTTTATTTTTATTTTATTTAAACTTGACGATAAATAAAAAAGAAACCGTCCAGATGACCTGACTGAACATTGTTGTATACTTATTATTATTTATTTATTTACAATTATTTTTACAATATTTATACTTATTGCTATAATTTAATTATTTATAATTATTTGTAACTTCAGACCAGTTTATCTGCTGGAAACCAGCTGCTTTCGTCCATTTGAAAACATTTGTTTGGTCGGGAGTGACGTCACTGAGAAATCCAGACGTAGATTTAAAACGAGGAATCACAGCGATGAACATTATACGAAAGGATTTCCCAGCATTACGGCAGCCAGTGGGGCAAAAGTTGTCAATTTGAAAGAAAATAAAAGTATTATTTCTGAAGACGTGGCTGTTAGAAAACTTGAATTTAAATGTAGATTAGGAAGACTTTAAGATATTTGAGTTTCTGGGATGTCAAGTCTGGAGACTGAACCAGAACTCACAAGTCCGAGGTGCGAACTGACCCGGATCCGAGAGTCCTCTGGTAGACCGGCGCTAGGCTAGCTGGGCTAACAAAAACCACGTGAATCCCCAGAAACGCTGCTTTAGTTACGCTTGATTTGCACAATTTATGTTTTTGTTCCATATTTTGTTTGTTTGTTTGTGGAAAAGTAAAAATCTCAGATTAATGCAAACACACTGAAGCTTTTATTTTGTTGGGGGGGGGGGGTCAGATGGACCCAGATCCAAGAGTCCATCAGTTCACCAGCTCTAATATTTATGGACTCAAATGTCACTGACGACAAACATCATATTTGTTATTTGCAGGGTCTTCTTGAAAGTGTTTTTACAAAAACTCTAAACTTGTGTAAAATTTATTTTTAAGGTACCGATAAAAAAAAACAAGACAAAAAAGAAACTCCCCCGATCTTCTTCTTGTTGTTCCTGAAATATTTTATTCAAATTTGACGAACTCTGATTTGAATGAGTGACGTCGAACGTGTTCAGAGCCGCAGGCAGGAAGTCGAAACGAAGCTCCGTTTCCTGTTCTCTTCAAACTTCCTCTCCTGGTTTCATCAATCGGGCTGAAAGTAACTTTTTTCTGTTGCTCAACAACTTCCTGTTCCTGCAACGTCACCGGGTTTCATCTGAGCCCCCCCACAACCCCCCGCAGCGTTTAAAACCAAACGTAAAGCGTAAAGAGCTGCTTCTGTTCGGCTCCAGAGTGAAAGTGAAGCTTTAGATTGACTTCCTGTTTGGCCGAGCTTCACACGAGCACAGGAAGTGCTCATGAGCATGTCTGGAGGAAACGACAAACCAGAAAATATCGAACTGCAAAACATTTAATTCACAGAAACGAGTTTAAAGGAAGAGAATGACTAAAAGATGTTGTTTAGTGCAGGGGTGTCCAGATGTTTTCATCATGCAGCTCCTTTGAAAATGACCACGTCAAAGTGATCTACCTGCTGTAAGGCCCGTTTACACACAACCACCCCTGGAAACTTTAGTGTTTTTCAATGTTTGTTGGAGGTAAAAAATAAAAAATGAGCGGGTTCACACAAAAAACACTGTAGTTTCCATGTTCTGCTCTCTGACATTTATTATAACTGTTGTTATATTTATCATAACTGTTATTTATTATAACTGTTGTTATATTTATTATAACTGTTATTTATTATAACTGTTGTTATATTTATTATCTGTTATT